GAGAGAGAGAGAGAGAGAGAGAGAGAGAGAGAGAGAGAGAGAGAGAGAGAGAGAGAGAGAGATGATGATGGTGTTGTGTTAACTTTTGTATGCAATGCACTGAATATCGTAGTGTAATTGTGTTCTTGTCGGAATGGGATGTGAAATGACAGCGCATCATGGCTTGAGATGGAAGTCCATTCTTCTTCTTCAGGGCAATAAAAAAGTGATGGCGAGGCCAGTCATAGAGTTTGAGTTGATTGATAGTGAGGAGATGGCGGCAATAGAGCTAGCTATGGCGCCATTTGACAAGCTGGCTGTGTCATCGTCTTACCACTCCCAGAAGAAGAAGTGTGAGAAAGGGGGGGAGGCCTTCGTGCCGCGGGCATGCATGGATTCGAGTTCCAGCCCTTGGATGATGACCCCAAAAAAAGCGTCATCGCCAGCAGTTGGATCTGCAGGAAGAAGGCAAAGTATGGGGGGAGCCGTGATGGAGAGAGAGGTGGTGGTGGGGGAGGTGGTGCTAGGTAAGGCTCTGCAGCGGGCTCACCATCTGTCTCTTTCCCCACGTTCCAGAGAGGGGAGGGAGGGCACGGAGAGAGAGAATTACCGACAAGTCAGTAGCACATGCATTGGGTCTGGCTATGGTGGAGGGAACTTGCAGGAAGAAGACAAAGGTAGAGGAGGAGGAGGAGGGCGACTTCTCAGAGAAGAAGAAAGAAGCAGGACCAGTAGGAGAGACAGCGATAGCTATGGGGGAAGAGGGAGGATGATAGAGGAAGAAGAAGGCCAAGAGGGAGAAGGAGGGGAGGAAGACGAAGAAGAATGGAGGCTTGACAAGCAGGAAAGAAGCAGCACCAGCGTGACAAACCGCCATAGCCAGGGACCTTCTTCTCCTGGTCACTTGGCAGAAGAGAGGGGGCAAAGGGAAAGGGAAAGTGAAGTGGACGATCCACGTGTCAGCAGACAAACATCTACTGTACGTCAGAGATTGGCAAGTCCTTCTTCATCATGGAAAAGTGCTGCAGATCATATTGATCTTAAGGATAAGCAAGACGGCTTCATGAGGAGGGGGAGTGACCGCCATTGGCCGGGATCGCCCGGATTGCTGAAACAGCAGGCTATGGGGATGTCTGACGATGGGAGCAAGGAGAGGGGCAACGAACCTCATGCGAGCCATGTTGTCGAGGAGTTCCAATTACGATGTGGTCCCGGCGGAACTGTTCCGAGGTCCAGTGGTTATTCTGGGACTCCCACCTCCCCACAAAAGGCCCGTGTAGCCTTTTTCCGTGGGCAGAGAGGGTCAACCCATGTACTTTCTGCTAATACTACTACTGCTCCAGCTCCTTCCGCCGGTGTCGTTTCGGTTACTGCTCCTGGTCCTCCTTCTGGTTCTGGTGCAGGCGCCGGTTCCGGTGATGTTGCTGGCTCTGGTTTTGGTTTTGGTTCTGGTTCTGGTGCTGGTGCAAGTTCTGGTGCTGGTTCTGGTGCTGGTTCTGGTGCTGGTTTTGGTGCTGGTACTCGTGCCCGTGCTGGTTCTGTTGCAGGTTCTGGTTCTGCTCCTGGTGCTGGTGCAGGTTCTGGTTCTGGTTCTGGTTCTGGTTCTGTTCCTGGTACTGTTGACCATCATGATTACATGGGAGAAGAAGAATTCGGCAGTCTGCTGGAACGCAGAAGCTCTTTCTGCAGATCAGGTGGGAACTGGATATGGCAGCAGCAGCGACTGGAATTTGCGTTGGCAGACGAAAAGTCAACACGAGGGAGGTCAGCGACTGAGGAGACTGAGAGTTTGACCAACTCCATCGCTCGTTCGGGCAGGGAATTCGCGATGAAATGCAGCGTGGGACCGGTTGACGCGGACCAAGTAGCCCCGGAGTCAACGTTGCCACATGGCTTTCGTTCTCCTCGCACTCCCCGGAGACAAAATCAAGACACGGGTGGCGTCCATGCTCCTCCTGCCATAGCTTCTGCTTCTTCTTCTCCTTCTCCTTCTGCTGCTGCTGCTTCCGCGGCTGCGAATGATATAGTTGAGGAGGTGGCTCCCATTCTATACCCTCCCTCTGTTCCCTGTGAAGGAGAAGAGAGCGGGCTGCTGCCATTACACAAGAAGCATCGACGAGTGCTTCCTGCTTGGATGACTGGTAATCGGCCATCTGGCAAGCTCAGTTTCGATGGTCGGCCAGCCGGCAAGTTGACTTCGGATAGTCGGTCAGCTGAAAAGTCGACGTTGAGTAATCGATCCGCCGAAACGTCAACTCTCGATGATCGGTCAGCTGAAAAGTCGACTCTGGATAATCGATCTGCCGAAAAGTCAACTTCGGATATCCGGTCCGCCGAAAAGTCAACTTTGGATAACCGATCTGCCAAAAAGTCAACTTTGGATAATCGATCTGCCGAAAAGTCAACTTCGGATAATCGATCCGCTGAAAAGTCAACTTTGGATAACCGATCCGCCAAAAAGTCAACTTTGGATAATCGATCTGCTGAAAAGTCAACTTCGGATGATCGGCCAGCTTCAAAGTCAAATTCAACTTCTTCGGGGATGAATGATGTGTGGGCACGTGGCCGTGGTGCGTCAACCCTCTTCCTATCACATCACCTGTCTACATGGCACACAGGATGTGTGCTGACTTCCAAGGGGTCTTTGTTTTTTGTTTGTTTTTTTCCTTCTTTACTTTTCTTGTCTTGCTTTCTGCCATGGACTTTGAATTATGCCCACAGAGTCAAAAGTATGTGCCATCAATACATTAATTCATATGATGATTAGTTAATGAATGAAGCGCACTGGCGACTTCGACATGCAGGATGACAATTGTAATGGCTGTATGACAAATGAAAAAAAGTAATAGCTGGATGTTCCACTTGCTACAGTGATGGAAGGTGCCCATCAGAAAAACAGTGCAAAAAAAAAAAGAAAAAAAAAAAAGAAGAAAAAAAGCACTCACGAAAGAGAATTTCTCCTCGTCTGCCCTCTTTAAAAGGGACTCTTTCTGAAAATCTCACCCATTAAGGGCCTACCTGCACGTCAGCAACTAAGGATAGGATTGATCCTATAGGTAGGTTTTAAAATGTATAGGTAGGGCCTAAAGGCAGACCTTCAGGTCTATAAGTAGGCCTTATAGGTAGGGCTTACAAATAGGCCCTTATATATAGGATCGACCTTATAGGCAGGCCTTTTAAGTCTATAGGTAGGCCCCCTTGTAGATAGGCCCTACAAGGAGGCCCTAGGGGAGAGGGCTTCAAGGGCTAGGGGACCAGTGTGAAGTCCTGTTATTATGGATGTAGGAGAGTCTGTAGGAGGGTTATGGGTCAAGAACGGTGATATATACAAGCAGAAAGGGGAGTGCTGAATGCGTGTTGACAGGGTGGCCCTCCTACAGCCACATTTAGCATCTAACCTGCAAACCTATACTCTGTGCGGCTGAAAGTGCTGCGAGCCCGCGGAACCCCTGAAGAAGGGCCACGATTTGATTTGGGGGGTGGGATGCCACGAAAAAGGCCCCCCCCCTTGGTCAGGTGGCTAGTGCCGCAAGGGTAAGACTGACCCTGGGTCTTTTCTCTTTTCCCCTTCTGAGCTGAGGGAACATGCTTGCCGGTGACGAGTAACCGGACTGATGCCCCCCAGAATAGAAATGGTTTTGTTGTTGTAACTTATAACCAAAAAAAAAAAAAAAAAAGAGGGAGAGCGGTTTCTTCCAAATTTATTCCCGTGGAAATGGTGCGTCACGGGGTATGCAGGGAAGATGGGGAGGAGGTGCGGATGAGTCCTCTGGTTTATCCCCATATAAACGGCTGCCAATCCGGGTGCGACCACTGTTCTTCAAACCAAACTACCTGGAAAGTTCACTATGCAGCTATTCTCCCCTGGTTGCTGCCTTCATTCATCATTCTCCCATCTGCGGAAGTGACACGTCGAGCTTTGCTTCATTGGATAGAACGTTCCCTCCCTTTCGTCCAGCATGCATCAGATCAGTACCTGAGCTTGAACAGGAGTCAAGGTCAATGGGGGGGGGGGGTGCTGCTAAAGTCCGAAGCAGAAATGACGACGCTATGTTCATGTGCCCATCTATTAGTGTAGTCATCGCTTGGCTTTGCTGCCGCGTGTGGGTGCATATGGGTGTTGTCGTTGGGTACGTGTGCCATGTGTGTGTGTGTGTGTGTGTGTGTGTGTGTGTGTGTGTGTGTGTGTGTGGCATTCTGAGCCACACGGGCCCCAGTTAGGGTCCGGTTCCAGGTAGGCAGGGTAGGCCTAAGGGGACGACGGTTCAGATGAGGCCCAGGTAGGCCAGGGGCACGGCGGTTCAGGCAGAGTCCCAGGCCAACGGCCACCAGGCCGGTACCGGTCCAGCATAGGACCTACCGGCGGCGCAGTTTCAGAGGCTGCCGCGTTTAGGCGCCAAGTCCAGTTTTGAATCTGGACCGTTGATCAGATCAACGGTCCAGGCCGGTAGGTACCAGCAGGTAGGAGGCTGGCCCAGCACTACAAAAGGCTGGGTACCAGCCTCAGTAGAAGGTTGGTAGAGAGGAGTCAGTCTTCAGGATTAGCGCAGCATTGCAGCGTTAGTAAAAGATTAGCGCAGCGCAGCAGCGTTAGTACGAGCAGCGAGGCGAGATCAAGACAGCGACGAGGAGGAACCAGCGCAGCAGGAACAGCGCCAGCCACCGGCCCAGCCCACAGCCCAGCGCCAGCCTCCGGCAGCGCCATAGCTACCGGGACAGATACCAGGGAGGAAGGCCTCGCCTTCTCTCCCTCTTCCTCCACTGCCACTCTCTCTCTCTCTCTCTCTCTCCTCCTACCTTCTCAGTCTAAGTCTACTTCTGGGTTCTCCTACGGGACTACTATAAGTATGAAAGATGGTTACGAATTCTGATGACATTTGAGACAGCGACATTGGGACTATAGGTTGAGGACTACTTGTGGGATCTGATTTCATCTTCCTCTGGAGATGTACTTGACATTGTGAGATCGATATCTGAGACATTGTGGGACACTGTATTCGCGACATTTCGGACTTTCGCCATCTCTGACATTTCAAGATACTATCTCTGGAAACATTGAGTTGATGTCATCTTTCCTCTCCTCCTCCCTTCGTCTCTCTCCTCCCTCCATTCGTCCGTGGATGATCTCAGACCCTGGCCTTTCGTCTATGTCCAAGGCCAGGGCTTTCACACCCCTGATGAATGATTGAGAGTGTTCGATTGCAGTCCGAGTCAGGTCGGAGTCAGTCCATGTATCTCAAGTCTTCCGCTGTATTTGTATTTACTCTGTATTATCTGGTCGGCTCTGGGAATCTGCGCCATACTTATGACTGTGTTTCACGAGTATGCAACACTGTGTGTGTGTGTGTGTGTGTGTGTGTGTGTGTGTGTGTGTGTGTGTGTGTGTGTGTGTGTGTGTGTGTGTGATGACGGCAGGTAGTCCTGTTTGCACACTCCCATTCGTTCAGTTTCGAGGCTGGATCAGCTATGCTATGACGACCGAGGAAGTTGATGCTGCTGTGGAGGATATTCTTGCAGGAAGGGGACAAGGTGCATTGCGAGGCATTGACAATGGCAACAATAATGGAACTGGGGATCCCTCTGCTGATGGGAAGATGTGCCTGGGATTCGACATTGAGTGGAAAGTCAGCTTTGAAAAGGGTAATCTCTTGCTCTTGGTATCTCATATCCTCTCGAATTTTCCTGCCCGTCGAAATGACCTGCGCATAGGGTGGGTGGGTTGGTGAGTATTCATCTAGGATTGGTGCTAGTCCACTGATGAACCCACTTGAGCGGCAGAATGCACCCTTGAAAAGAAGATGGGATTCTGACAGATTGACAGATCTGACAGACTGTTTTGTCGGGCTCTGACTGCATCGTCAGGAGGCTGGACATCCTGTCGCTATTCAGATTGGAAATCTCCATCTTTTTCTCTGTAACGCAGACATATCTGCTGCTGCGCGATCATGCTCTAATGCTCATGTATTTCCAGCTATGTGAACGTTCGCCTCGCCTCAATGACATGGCTTTACAGTGTACCATTGTGTGGCCTTTCTGGTTCATGGCGGCCATTAGGTCTTCCTTCTCTGAGGTTTTGAGTTTTGTTTTCATTCTCCTGGCTCTCTCTTTTTTTTTTTTTTTTCCTTTGCTCGTCGTTTTTGAGAGTCTGAGTAATTGGTGAGCTTGTGTTGTCGGCATCCTTTGATCTCATGATGCACAGGAGGTGGACCTGGAAAAGCAGCATTATTGCAGCTCTGCCCAGATTCACGGAGATGCTATTTGCTTCACATTGTACATAGCGGGATCACCCCAGCGCTTCGGGAGCTTCTGGAATCACCGTTCATCTTGAAAGTGAGTGTATATAATCATTATAATGCCATGTTGGTCTCCATCGGCCGGCGATTGCGCCATGTTTCTTTCTTTTTTATCAATCAATGCCTCTGTTGCTATGTGTCGTTAGCTCTCTGACCCATTTGAAAACTGAGAGACTCGAATGGTTCTCCGGTTCCACCGTATGCTCTCTGAGGGTTGAAATGACTATGCAGCGCGCTTCGTTTTTTTTTGACTATGCTTTCCTCTGGAATGATGATCGATTTGGGCTATTTTTCCCCTTGAATAGAGGCCTTTTTTTACTGTTTATGTTCTGTTAGGGTTGTATTCTTCCAGAGACTATGGGAGCGTGTGTGGGTCTATCTGTCTTCAGTTTACCGTACACAATAAGGGGTGTGCTCTATTTGGGTGGCAAGGGTAGTATACATAGTTTGCAACTTTGCATGCGTAACAACAGGTCGTGTTCCTCTGCAGTACTATGTCTGGTATATACCATTTTCGACTCATTTGAGCCTTTGAGGTTCCTCTTTTTTTTTTTTTTTTTTTTTCAATAAACACACAGCCCCTTTCTATTCTGGGGGGTGTCAGTCCGTTTGCTTGTTACCGGCAGCCATCCTTTTTTTTTTTTTTTTTTTTTCCCCATACACAGCCCCTTTCCTCTTCTCGTTGTTTCTTGTGTGGCAAAAGTACAAGAAACAACGAGAAGAGGAAAGTAAAGGAAGACTCAGTCCAACCCTAGTCGAGGTTCCATTCAAGCCTTTTTCAAGGTCTTTTTTTTTTTTAATTAATAATTTGGACCATGTGTCGATGTATGCATGCCATCCTTGTGCAGGGGCCATGCTAACCTTCTCCTCTCTGTATCGTTCCAATTGTAATGGATGTCCAGAGGACATTTTATTTGAGGTCTGAGAGGATGCTTATTGTGGTTTGGTTAGGAAGAATTGTGCCAAGTTATGGGGCCAGATGAGCAGATGAGAGAAGAGTTTGCGATTTTGAAATTTGAAGATGCAACCCCTTGCACACACGATCAAAGTTGTGTATCTGAAACCACCAGTACCTTTCTCTTATATCGGTCGGGGGAAAAAATAGAGTGGAAGCATTAAAGCGTTTCGACACTGACGAATTTGGGCGCTCCAATAGTGGCCCGTTCATCCGCGCGCATTGTGGCTCGCATGCGGCCCGCAACTTTCAGAGGTACTGGTGGTCTAACTGGTTGTAATAATCATCACACATATAGAACTCGACAATGCCCGTGCAATGCGTGCATTCTCGATTTATTTCGTGTCATTCGTCCGCAAAAGCCATGCTAAACTTCCGTGTATCGTTCCAAAATTAATGGATGTCTCACCATATTCACCATCATGCTCTGTTTGGGGAAAGATTTGAAGTTTGGCCCAGTGTTGCAAGCCCGGTAGGACAGGGCCCCCCTCCCCCAACGGGAACCAGACCGGTCGTACTGGCTGGTCGACCGGGCCGGTTCCCTCCGTTGGCCGTAGCGCATCCTTTTTTTTTTTTTTTTTTGAAGCCCAGGGTGTTGTAGAGGCCAAGGACTAGACCCACAGTGATCGCTGGCAGCGGCAGCCGGTTGTTGTCCTGACAGGATAGGCCACCTTCCCTACCCTTCCCCTCGTTAATACTCCCAGCGCACCCCCTATCCCTCCTATCCTACCTCAGTGTGACCCGCACTCAGGGCCATCACCCTAGTACCAGTATCGAGGGCAACTTGGACCAGAGAGCAGTGACAAGCACCAAGGGGCCATAGCGCATCCAATCTGGGGGTCTTACCATTTTTGTTTTGGGCCAGGAGGCCTCCACGCCGCAGGCCGTGGAGGACTCCTGGCCCAAAAAAGAAATCAGACCGGGTCCGGTAGGCCCGCCCAAAAGGCTTGAAAAGGGCGGCCTATCTGGAGCGCTGATCTCGAGAGATCGACAGCCCAGATAGGCCGCCCTTTTCAAAGTTTTTGGGTGGGAAGTACCGTCCCTACCCTGCCACTAACACCCCCACCCCCCTTTTCAAAGTTTTTGGGCGGAAGGTCAGTGTTTGCAGAATGCCAGGTACGTTGTTGTCAATGTCTGCTGAAGCCTGTGCTTGCTGAAACCCCACCACTAACACCCCCACCATAACCCCCCCAACCCCCGAACCCCAATCCTTGAAATCCGCCCCCCTCCCCCTCCCCCCCGCATCTCGGCGAGCGCAGTCCAACCATGTTTTCAAAAAAAATAAAAATAAAAAAAATTGACCCACTTTTGGGCCCAACGGCCCCAACCAGAATTCCGTTCGTATCCTGCCCGGTCCAACCGGCCAGTTGCCGGCACAGCCCTGTTTGATCAGGTTTCATGACATCAAGAAACTGCACTTCCCTAGACTACCCTGGAATAGGAGCGTTCTAGACTTTGCTAGAATAGTAGTGTGCTAGACTTCCCTAGACTACGGTAGTGACGAAGGTGCAAGGTGGTGAATATGGTGGCACCTCTGTTCTGTTTGCCACTCTGCACTAAGTNTCCGTAATCCTGACGCTTTGTGGATAACCCACAAAGCGTCAGTGGACCGCCAGACAGTTTATGCACAACCCACACAACATTATCCATAATCCAGATTCCAGACAACATTATCCAAATCTGCCCATAACCTGGGCAGCCTTATCCATAATCCAGACCGCATTATCCGAATTTGTCCCGGGCAAGCTGAAGCTGTAGGTTGTGTGTTCGATTCTTGGGTTCGACGTGCACATAACCTGGGCAGCATTAGCCATGACGTGGACAATTGTTCGCACACTATGTCATTCACTGCTTGAAGGACAACAAGTACAGTTACTGACTTTTCTCCTACGAAGAATTCAGCATCCTACAGGATTTGAACCTGTGACCTTCAACTTACGCGATGCCCTGGCTTGACCAGTTGAAACGCTCCCCACGATAGGTCGGAGAGTAGTGCTGCAACATTGGAGACCCTTTGCTTTCTTCCCATCGCCGCGGATCGGCTGAATGCAAGATCTTGAAAATTTGCGAGGCTTTTCGACTGGCAGCTTGTTGCTAGGACTCACTCTTGACTGTGAGTCCCCATGTGACAGCAAGAGCAAATCATGTCGGCTTTCAAGGTCGATGATCGCCGTCGATGATGGCAGTTGCCGCACTGGTGTGGGGTCAATAATGTATTACGTTGCACTCGATGACGGATCGATCATCCCATCTTTTGGAGGTGATCGGTAGGAGGAAGGCCGTCAGGAGGAGCCCTTCCAACCATTGCAGTGCAGCTACGAAAGGCACGGCAGTACTCACCCAAGGGGTTTTGAACTTGTCAAACTGATCATTATAGCATTACATTCTACCCGACGTACTGATCTCTCAGCCCCTTAAGGATGGCGGCCTGTCTATTGGGGAACTCAGTTTTGCTGTCCGACTTGCAATACCGTTTGTCCCTGTAGCTGCTCTTAGTCTCGCCGAGGGGGCTCGTAGGTGCGCTGCTTCTGTTCGCCCCTCTTCCGCCATCTGCAAATTCTGCATCAGCTTCAAGTTCTGGTCACCCTTGCCCGTAAATGCGGTGGGCACGGAATGCGAATCCAGTCCTTGCCCTTTCACCCTTGCACCTCCTGTTCCGCCAAAGACATCTGGAGGTGGAATATTCTTGTGAGAAGGCTCCTCCCGGAGGGCTCCTACGCTGCCGCCTGACGCCATCTTCGAAAAGGATTTCGCCATTCCCGCTCTGGCTGTTCCACTCAGCCCAGAAGCTGCCACTGCTAGCCTTCCGCGGTTCAGCGCACTGCCAGGCCGAGCGGACCCGACCCTCGCTGTGCCTGGCCTGGAGCGCGGCGCAGATTGCTGCAAAGATGAGTGAATTTCTGGATCCCCGGCAGGCGACACGCCCCCACCACTGCCGCCGCCTCTGCTCGCCTTGACGGCGTCGTCACCACCTACCGCATCATCCGCTCCTTGCTTATTAGCTTGAACGTGTTGGCTGCCCTGTGTTGCACTGCTTGACTTGGTCTCAGGTTTGGGGTACAGTGGTATGGGCTCGCCCGATCCCCTACAAAATGGACACGCCTTCTCTTCCAGGAAAGCTAGCTCCCAGTCCTCTTCTTCAAACAGATGGTTGCATCCGCCGCACACTTTGATTGTTGCATCAGGATCCACGATACGGAAGTATCGTGTCGCAACCGCCGGAGCTGGCCATGATACGATCACGACGTCTTTGCGGTCTGTTTGCCTCAGCATCTTGCGGTTCAGGACGATCGGCTGATGAGGCATCATCATCTGTTGTCGGAAAAAGTCCTCGACACCGGTTCCGCCATCCCCACTCGTCATAAACACCCCGTACGACCCCATGTTCATGTCATCACCCATTCGATCGTCATCATCAAGTCGCAAGGTCTGTACAATCCCGTACTCTCTTTCGGATATGCTCGGGCTCCCCAGCGTTCCACTTTCTTGGTTTTCTCCGCCACCACTGGGTGGGAGATCCTGCTCAAGCAGTCGTAGCGCCTCAGCATCCTCAATTCCTTCCTCCAGCACAAACTCCACCTGTATGCAACGTTGCAATTTGCAATATGATGAAACTTCTTATACAACAGCAACCAAAAAAAAAAAAAAAAATCTTATACAACTATCCACACAAGTCCTAAAATTAGGAAAAAGAAACAAAGGGAGCCATGCTGATGAAGGTAAACACCTGTGGACTCGCTGGAAACACCGGAAAGCCAATTTCCGATGGGCAAGGGGGTTGGGTGGGGGGAAGGGGGTTGAACCACAAGTACTCCGCCAAGCTATTTGCAGCGACACACCGGTTAACAAGGGGCTGCAGTGAGTTTAGGGCTACCAGTACGGGAAAGCCCCAGGGGGGGGGGGGGGGGGGGGTTTTTTTTTTTTTTCCCCCCCGGGGGTTTTTTTTTTTTTTTTTTTTTTTTTCAAAAAAAAAAAAAAAAAAAAAAAAATTGGATTAAAAAAAAAAAAAAAAAAAAAAAAAAAGTTGGATTCAAAAAAAAAAAAAAAAAAAAAAAGAAGTTGTCCAATTGAAAAAGAGCTGGATTGGAGAGAGGGCTCGTACTACCTTCAACTACGTGAATTAGCAGCCGGGAAGTATAGCACACTCCTATTCTAGGCAATCAGCTCATACTACCTGATAGTATAGCGGCTATAGCCTAAAAATTGCCGGACTTTAGTTAGTCCGTCACACGCTCTGCAAGACTGCAAGTAAGTTTGACATCAATCATAATCTCAGAGTCTCTCTCCAAATGAATTCAACGTCATACTCTCTGTGACGTTGCAGTTTATATACCCTCTCCCCTCAACCTCTCCCCACCACCTAACCACACATCCATCCGTGATATGTGTGTGTGTCTGTTTGCCGAGGACGGGGAGATATCAAGTGGTGGTTGGTGGTCGTGGGGGTGCACGATAGCAGCGTAGGGATGGGAACACAAACTCAAAGACTACATAGAATGTTTTTTTTTTCTTTTTTCATACTGTCGAGTCTCAACCATGTATCTATTGTCTGGGACGCTGAGCCCGTTTCTTAGCAGGTGATGCCTGTTCCCTCTCTGGAATCGAACCCTAATTCTCTGTCACCCATAGCATGTTCTTCCCCCCCACCCCCCGCCCCCCTTCCCCCCCCCAGTAGCATGTCTATTGAACTGTATTCCTTAGCATTTTTTCGTGTGACACTGTCACAGGATAATTATGAATGCAACTTGAGAAATAACGAGCGTCAAGAACATCTTCGGTCACAGGGCCTTTGCGAATAGGTCTTTCAGGTGCCTGTTGCTCAGTTTGACCAAGTGTTTTTTTCGTGCATAAGAGCGGCAGGGCCGTCTTATTGGGGTCACACCAGTTGTGTGGGTGTTAGTTAAGCTGTCACTTATTCTTTTGAGCTGTCTGGCTTCCATGGGTGTCGACAGTCTGGGGTTGGATCTCCGGGGGATGCGTCGAAACTATGGAGGGACTATGGAGTCCTTTGTGGAGGCATAGTGGACTTGGGTGATCTGGCCAATCAGAAGCTTTGTAAGAAAGAACGCCAGAGGAGGTGGAGCCTCACAGGGCTTGCCCAAGAGCTGATGTGTAAGCAGGTCAGTCTCTTTCAACCATCAGAGAACTGTTCTCTCTCTCAAACTTCAGTCCACTGCATTGAGTGCCTGCCTTCCTCCCTTCCTCCCTTCCTCCCTTCCTCCTTTCCTCTCTTCCTCCCTTCCTCCCTTCCTCCTTTCCTCCCTTCCTCCTTTCCTCCCTTCCCTCCTTCCCTCCTTCCCTCCCTCCTTGCCTCCCTCCTTCCTTCCCTCCTCCCTTCCTCCCTCCCTCCTTCCCTCCCTCCTTCCCTCTTCCGTCTTCCTTCTCTGTCTTGGTTCCTTCTATGTCTATCACGTGATGCATCCATCACTCTCATGACAGTTTTCTTGCAGAGGGTCTCACTTGGGAGCTGCTTTGCCCTTATAGCTTCCCTGATGGGTAGATTTGAGAATGATCAGAGAACAGGGAGGCAAAACTGAAATCATTCAAACAAAGGTGCAAAAAAAGAGGGGAAAACACAACAGTTTCTCTCCCCGAGTGCCTTGATCTGCATTACCATCAACCTCAAGCAGGAACCTCCGAGGCTGAAGTGGACAGACTGCATGCAAAGGGAAATTGATCGATTGTTGAGGACAGTCTAAGTGTTTGCAGACTGCATGTATTCGGTGTTGTGCTGGTTGTGTTTGTTAATTTTGAGTCTTTTGACGTGTGCATAGTCTCTATGCCGATGCCGTGATGAATCTGATGATCATGATAACGATGCTTCGAATGTGGTTGCTTCGCTAGGTACAGCGGATTTCTTGTTCTAAGCATGTTTAATAGTTTTTATGGATGGGGACTTGAGTAGAAATTTTGCTGAGTGAGTGAGGGAGTAATAGGAGAATGATAATTTGCTGAGTCGGCGTCAGTGGAGTACTTAAATTGATAGCGACAGCCTTGAGATATCATCTTTGAAGTTTGAACTGACTGACCCCAGGTAAATTCAGAATTTCAGAGTTAATAACTCATCTGATTGCATTGGGATTCGAACTTGGATCTGCATTTCAACAGTTCATGGTTGTAGCGACTGAGATAGCCCATAGCCCAGCTGGCGTATAGCTTTCTTCCTAGGGTATCAGGCCGGGTGCCTGGGCTGCCTCTGGCTGCCCAGATGGCTGCGATTCAGGTCCCTGGCAAGGTACCAGGCCAGTTCCGGGCAGCCCCAGCTAAAAAAAATAAAATAAAATATAATAAAATCCGGAAAAAAATGGTGTAGAACTGCAGTGCAAAGCTGCAAACAACTTTTGGTGAGGGTCACCTCAGAATTCCTTGTTGAATAAAAGCTGCGTAGCATCATGTTCGCGTCCGGTGACCTAACCTGAACGAGCGCCAAAACCCTCCGAACGCTAACACACACACACACAAAAAAAAAAAAAAAAAAAAAAAAAAAACCCTGAAAAAATATATGTTATGTAAAATAACAGTACAAACAACTTTTGCATGGGAGGTGCGTTTCAAATTCGTAACCAAACTCGATTGAAAAATCGAAAACCTAAAAAATAAATAATTATTAAATTCATTAAAAAAAATATGTTTGACCAAACACGTTCGGGAGGCTTTCAGCCAAACACCCAAACATGTTCGGGAGGCGTTCGGGAAAGCCCCGAACACGTTGAGCGTGCTACACAGCTTTTACCTATCTCACTTAAACCAGCACCGATTCTTTCTCCCTCTTTCTCTCGCATCCTTTCTTTCCATTCCATCATCTCCCTTTCCTCCCTCATTCTCCCAATATCACCTCCTTTCCGACCCCGTCAGCCGCGCACACGCAAAGTTGAAGCTCTGGTACACGACGACAAAACACTCGGAACGAGATTCAGACCCTTGCAATGGCTTTAGCGACTTAGGGCGAGATCCCACTGGCAAAGAGGATTGGAAAGAGTGTCTGAATGTGGACGTGTTTGTGGACAGGTGCGAAAAATTGTGATTGATCTACTTTTCTGCACCTCTACATGGAACACGTCCAGATTCAGACACTTCTTCCAATCCTCTTTGCCACTGGGATCTGGCCCTTAGCGTTTGATTTTGTTTCTTT